CGAAGAACAGCGTGCAAGTCGTGAGCACACCGCAGAACAAATTCGCAGACGTCTACTCGCGCGCGCGCGTCGCAGAGCTGCCGAACAAGCGCTTCGACTACTCCACGCGCAGCCTGAGCACGGGCGCCGAGACGCAAGAAGAGGCGCTGGACTCGGTGAACTTCCGCCGCAACTTCTACAACTGCGACAGTCGAGCGCCGCGGACAATCGTCGTCGAGCGCGCGTCGCCCGAGTGCGACTACGGCTTCAAGTTCCGCGCCGCTGCGCCCGCGGACATGCTCGCCGCGACGCTGCACAACCCAGCCGGCAACCCGCTGAGCGTCGAAATGTACCCGAAGGCGGCCGGCCGCGCGCCGGAGCCCGCCTTCGGCAGTCCGAGCGTCGAATTCAAGTGCGCGGCGGGGCCCGGCACGCTTCTCAACAGCCCGGTAGTCTCCACGCTCATGCCTCGCAATAACAACTACTTGCTCTGTCGCAAACGCATCAGCAAGTCGCACGTCAAAGCGGAAACGCTCGTTTCGCCCGAGCGCGGCGCGCCAGCGAAGTCCGCCGCGCCCGCGGACGAGTCGCCGGAGCCTATCTCCAAGACGTACGCCAAAGGTTCTTCCTTGCGCAGCAAGCTGAAGAAGAAAAGCAATTTTATAGATAGCTTCAAATCATTTTTTAGCCGCAGCAAATCGTGTGCTTAACCCCCGGGTCTTTGGAGCTCCATTTTTAAGCAAAATTACTAATTAACTACGGCGCATGGCTCCGGGAGACGCGGCGCTGATCGAGGCGCTGCGCGCGCGCGGCGCGCAGCTCTTCGCGGAGGTCAAGCGCTCGAACTTCGAGAAGGGCGGAGTCGCAGCCGACTGCGCGCGGCTCGTCTCGGACCCGCTGCAGCTCTTCGCCGCGCACTTTGCCGCGCTCGAAGCTGCGGCCACGCCGCTCGCGCAAGTGCAGAAACTCAAGTTGCACTCGCAGTTCGCGCTGAGCGTCTTCGTGCGCAACAAAGTGAAACCCGAAGCGTTCGAGCTCGCCGCAGGCGCCGCGTGCTACGCGGTCAGCGACAACAGCGGGCTCGGGCTGCTAGTCGTAGACAGCGCGAAGACGCCAGCCGTCGGCGCGCTCGCGCCAAAGAGCAAGTACTTCATCACGCACCTGCTGCTGCAGGTCGTCTGCGGCCGCGTGTTTTGCGAACTGACGCCGGCTTCAGTGATCACCGAGAACTACGCGCACTACGCGAGCGCCGAAGCGCCGCTCCACGCCATCCCTCACGTCAGCTCGCGCGACTGCTCGAGCCGAGTGCTCTAGTTCCGCGGTCCAACAGCGG